CAACTGAGCTGGAACACATTATTCTTGAAAAGTAATGCCAGTCATTAAGCTGGTTCATAACACTTCCTGCATGCTTTTATTATACTAGATTTACGGAAGATGTAATTATCTGTTAAATAATGAAAAACAAGTCACTCGGAGATTAATTAATCAATATGTGCTAATCACACTAGGGTGATAAATGTTTTCCAGAGAGAAAGAATGGAAACCACCCAACTGGAAGCTCTCTCGTCACCTTAGCTTTAAGGATTCTCCCCAGGACATCATCCCTAACCTTGTAGTAGAACCTAGGGAGAAGTCACTGCCATCAGCTTTCAGTTATTGTCTGTGATCAATTTATTGACTCGAATATTTTCAACTACATTTTAGTTCTCATAATTTCTTCCCTTCAAATTTTAATCTTGCTCAAATTCTGTACTTACATATGTCCTTTGTCTGGCGTTGACATCAACTTTGGATACCTTGTGGCTTTCTCATCCTCTTTTATATAACAAAGTAACTTGCTTATTGATACTGTTTTATCCCACAATTCTGCGTAACGTGCTCTTGGCAATTAACTGCAAAAAAATAGACAGATGGTCACCATTTTCAAATTAAATATCCAAGAATATTATCTCTCCACACAAGATTGCAGATAGGTTGAACTGCATAAAATTCTTAAGTGTTTCTCACAAACTTTGCAAGGATAGCAAATTACTTAACTGTACAATTAGATCTCTTAGAGGTCATTAAGAAAATATAAATGATCCAAAAAATCTTCCCCATCTGCTAACTAATCTTTGAAGTCTGCTATCTAAAAGTTATTTATTCTCTTTTCCAAAAAAGATTTCTAAAATGCCTATAAAGTCCTAAGCATGATTTTAGACAATTGGGAATTATCAGTGAACAAAAGAAACAAAGGCCTTATAAAATTTATATCTAGCAAAGTGATGGACAATTAAATATAACCCTAATAAACAGTTACATTAGATAGAATTTTAGAAGGTAGTGAAAATATTACAGAGCAGGGTATGGAAAATAGGAATGATATGCCTGGGCAGAGTGCATAGTTTGCAGCATTATGTTGTTTGAACTCACTGAGATGAGATTTGAGCAAAGATATGAATAAAAGAGTAAATCAACAAATGAATAGATGGACTTACATATTCCAAGCAAAGTGTAAAACTAGAGAAAAAAGTCTAAGGCAAGAATATAGCCAATGGGTATCAGGAGTTGCAAGGGGGCCAGTTGCTGTTATGGAAACGCACTGTAGTAGCAGATGGTTAGGTGCTTAGAGGAGGTCAAAGAAGGAACAAGTGGCAAGATTACATGTGAGTCTCCAGCATTTGTAAAGACTTTGGCTTTTATTTGAGTGAAATAGGGGAGCGCTATGATTTTACTGAGTTTTGAGCAAAAGGAGGATGTAATGCTATGGTTTAGAAATATTCACAGTAGATGCTATATTGAGAAAAGACTGCAGGATGCTGAGTGGAGACAGAAGCCTGCTAAGCCACAAAGCCAAAATCTGATGTTCACTTGGGTGCCCGGATAAGAACATTGGCAATGGCAAAGAATGCCCAGATTCTGGGTGTGTTTTGAACATAGACTATTTCCTGAGGAATTAGCCACAAAATAAACGAATCAAAAATGGTAAAAAAAAAAAAAAAATTAAGATGTGGAACACAGAGTATATAGGGTGTTACTGAGGAAGAGGGAGAGCAAGAGGTGGATTTTCAACATGTGGAATTCAAGCACAGTACGTGAGAAAAATCAAGGGATGCTATTGAGCTACCGATGGGAATATAGATATTTGAAATTCAGATAATGGAGTTCAGCTACAGGTGTAAGTGTGGGTATCATGGCAATATGAACAGAATTTAGAGCCACATAAACAGAGAATATTATCAGAGGAAGGGGGTGGAAATATAGACAAGCTGACAAACTTCACAGACCTTCCAAAATTAAGAGATTGAAAAGGAAGAGAAATAATTTCACAAGATTGAGAAGTTTGCAATGAAACAAAAGGAAACAAAAAAAGAGAATGCATGGCCCTAGAAGTAAAGTGATGAAAGTAGACCAAGGAGAAGAGAGAGTCAGTTCTATCTAAGCTCACTGATAGATCAAGTAAGAAAGGTGAAGACCAGAAATAACCATGGGAAACTCAGGAAATGTATGGCATACATTCACTGAAGGTGGATCACACGAATTGTTTCAGTTGTTTGTTGCTCGTTGTACATTAAAACTATTAGAGAAAATTTGAAAAGAGGCCAGAGGAGATTGTGTGAAAAGAATGAGTTCAAGTATGGCAATCTGATTTCACAGCTGACAGTGCCACTACAGTCTCATAATTATTCTTCTCTAGCAATCAAACTCAGCAACTCACTTCTTATCCCTGGATCCACTGACTTTTTATCCTCAAATGGAGAAGGGAGGGGTTATATGACCCCCAGGCTCCCTGCATCTCAACCTTTTCATGATTTAAAGATAAAATAACAACCACAATCCTACCTCCTAATAAAATCACTTCCATTTTTTAAATATTTTCTTCTAATCCTTGTTTACACACATATAAAATACGCATATCATATATGATATAGTAAACCCTTGAGTAAGACCAGCCTGACATACAAACAACTTGGGTTACAACCAGAATTTTAGTTTTAACTGACGACCAAAGTCTTGAGTTATGACCTGAATGCTGACCCACTTGTGCTTCCAGGTGGTCTCAGATACAGAGTTACAGCATCCTTTCCTGTGTGGGGTTAATTGAGAAATCTTGGGCCAATGTCTCTCTAAGGACACAGATCTGCCTGTGTGCAAGAGAGAGGTTTTGAAGGCTGAGCCTTCAATTGACCAACTTGGGCTACAACCAGCCCTTGAGAACGAATTGAGTTTGTAAGTCAAGGGTCCACTGTACATACACAGATTTTTAAAATAAGAATTAGCAAAGGAAATGAGGCAGAAAAAATGTGTCTGACAGGATCATTTCTATTTCTTACCAGTTGTTCTTCTTTAGATGATATGCAAATTCTGAGTCAGAATTAATACAACATTTTCCAGGGCTACAAGTTTACTCACCAGAAAATGTGGCTTATGTGTTTCTCTGAATGGGTTGGACTTTCTCAGATGTCTCCAGCATTTGGTTAGAAGAAAAAAAGAAAGAAAAACACCTAATATTTCATGTAAAGCGGCAAATCTAATCCATATGATACTTTGAATTGTGAATGTGGGGACATGTTCAATTGTATACTTTTACTAAGTTTTAAACTTTTATTTAGTGATCAATTGTCAGTGTTCTGGTCTACCCAAAAGGGCAGTTGTTGCAGAGGTGTACAGTGGTTTATATGATGTCTTGGCTTTGGGGAAGCCATAGTTTACTCAGATCATCAGCATGGTTCTTTGATCTTTGCTGGTCTTAACTCTGGAATGGCAGTTCTGGGCAATTCTAGATAGGCAACACATAAGAAGTCCAGGGTAAAGATATTTCAGTGTTAGCTCCCATAATGTGCACTTGGTTAATTTATCATGTGTTACCTGTCTCCATTTGGTTGCCACCAAGGAACCCTTCATGATGATTGAGTCTCACCTCTACTCACTGGAGCTGAACAATCCCCTAAGGCCTAGCTGTGTCTCCCACACAGTTCTAGCCAATGTCTTCTAGCCTCCCCTTGACTACTGGGACACTCTTTCTCTGCCCTGATCATTATCAGGTCCATCTGGCAAGCTCCCCCACCAGGCTTTCAACCAAAGAGCAAGTTCTTTGATCAAACGCTGGTAAAAAATATTGCAGCCTCATTTGCCTCCCTAGGGATTGAGATTACAGCAACTCAAGGGAATTCTATGGAGACATTGCTCTGCTGCACCACCATGCAGTCTCACTGAGTTCACTGCAGTGCAGTCAGTTCCAGAGTCCTAGACAACAACATGAGCAGAAGCCACTGTAGCCTCAGGGTTCTCTGAGTATAATTGAAAAAAAAAAAAGGACTCCCTTCCGTATTTTGACCCAAAAGGAGAAACTAAATAAATTCTGAACACATGCTTCCCCTATATCTTTCTCTTACTCAAGTAACTCTCAGTGATCAGTGGTCTTGCATTGCTTTGTGCTCCTTCCCTTTGTTTGAAATGGTTAAGTAGACTAAGTCTGTTCTTTATATGGCAAAGTGGCAAGAGTTAAAACAGATTTACAAAATATTCTAATCCACAAAATCTGGATTTCATTTTCTTTTGTCATTGTATAAATCCTACTTTCTGAGGCAGACACTTTTTATCTTTGCATTTTCTCTCTAACAATGCTGAATCCTACTGTCAGGAGTGGACGTTTAGTCTGATAAGGGAGAAGACACTGCTTCGAGAACTGGAAAAGTAGAAAATAACTTCTTTGAGTTACATTTCTCTATGCTGAGACAAAATACCTGGCACTCAAAGTTAAAGGAGGAAAAGGTGAATGTAGCTCACACTTATAGAGATTTCAGTCCATAATTGGCTGGCTCTAAGGCAGAGGGACAGCACAGAGGAGAAACAGTTCATGGTAGGCAGAAAGCAGCAAAGAGCAAGCAACATATTCTTTCTGTCCCTTTCTATTCTATTCAGTAGCACTCACACCCAAGGTGGACCTTCCCCTTATCCATACCCAGAACTATGCCAAGCCAATCAGTGGACTAATTTAATAATCACATACCCTTAAATCCAGCACCACAAACTCTAGATCCAGCCACTTCTGAAAAGCCCCACTTATGATTGAATGAGGCTTTGGGGGGACATCTAGACCTAAGCCATAACACACCTAAATTCATTTTGAAGATCAACATTATTGGAAAGAAAAAGAAAAGTAAAATGAACCCCGTAACAAACAATTCCATATAATATTTCCTAATGTATTCAAGAAATAGAAACTCTTATTCCAAATAATGATAGAACTTTCTCAAGAATGACCAGTGGTTAGAGGTTCTGGGATTTTTGTCCCAATAATTTTATGTAGGTTGTCAAGAATATTTATAAGGAAACCTATACTTGTTTTGCAGGGAAGCAGGCAGGAAGGATACAGTGACCCTGCTATGGCTGCGCAGGATGCAATGGTAACTAGAATCAGCTTCCATCTGACTATAAAGAATGTTTCTTAAAGTGGCCAGAGGATTCTGATGCTTCTTCCGGGCTCTCCACTCTTCCAGGTCCTGTGGGAAGCCTGCCAACAGAAGTCAGGGGAACACAAGGCCATGCTGCAGATGATCCTGTGCAACAAGAGCTACCAGCAGCTCTGGCTGGGTAACTGGGAGCTAGCTTTCTCTCTAGCTACTTAACTGATCATATGACAAAAAGCAATTTGTTGGTGAGAGAAAAAAGGAAAATATTACACAGAAATGGAAGAAAGTCGATTATCTCCAAAACACTCAGATTGAATTAAGTTTTAAAAGATAGGCCCCATTTAATGACATTAATAAAGAATAAAGTTTTTCCTGTAGTTTCATTTTTCTAATAATTGAGTTGTATAGTTTTAAATACTGAAACCTTTAAAAAATAATCACCCTTTTGGAGATATATGACCTACTTGCTATTAGGTAGATTTTATGTTGTCTTGAAAAGTATCTAGTGAGCTTTGTTGAGTCAGGACATGATGAGTCAAGGTCATCCTTATTAATGTGATTTATGTGATATCAGTAGTGCCATATTGACTTTTGAAATAAGTTCATATAGTTTGTACTTTGGTTGACTGTCTCCAAATCACTGTAATTTTCTTTTTCCCTTATTAAAATATTTTTAAATGTAAAACACAAAATTTTATAGAAGTTTTAAGAGCTAGCGTACCCTAATCCAACTACCACTTCTATACTCAATATACCAATTAGAGATGATGATATGAATTACAATAATGATAGGACACCTCCTTGCTTCTCATTTGCTGTAAAAAGTATATGTGAACTCAAAGTTGCCTAGAATAACCAGTTAGGTAAGATCTTGAAATAAAGAAGCTTAATTTAGCATAATTTTAAGTTAGTAAACTCTAGGCTATGCCCTAAAGGTGGTTTCATATTTCTCAGCATATGTACTGTACATTTTATGACCACTAGTTTAATCATCATGGGATTTTTACACTTAATTTTCATATTTAAGTTCTATCAGAACTCTGTTGCTGGCGTGAGTCAAATTACATGTCCTAAACAAATGGCACAGAAGTAATGGCTGCTCATGGGTTTGCCCTTAATTTAAAGTAGCAATGCCAGTGAGTCCCACTAGAGGGCATAACTGTTCTTCAGGAAAGGAAGCAACAGCGGGTCTTCGAAGTCCAAAATTTACAGCTCTGCTAACTTACACTATTTGTCTTTTGCATTTGTTTCAAGGAACAGATATATCACTACAAATAACAACAGTATATTCAATTATTTTAGAGAAACTTTATCTGTGCTATGTCTGGCAATCTCATCAATATTTGTATGTTAAGTTTATACTATTTACAAAATCTCCTTTGACTTACATCAATTCGTTGAAGTTTTCCAGCAATTTCAAAATATTTCTGGACAAGACCTGGTAGATGCCATTAATGACTGCTATGATGGATACTTTCAGCAGCTGCTGGTCGCGATTGGTAAGCACTAACCTCTGTGTTTGCATTAGACCTATCATCCCACAGCAAATGAGTCGTTTTCCTCTGAATTCACTTATTTAAGAAGGTTTTAAACTGTGGAAGACAAGTGTGTCAGCTACCCAGGCTTGCACCAAACTGGCCACCTGGTGGCTTTAATGAGCTGGCAGCCCTTTCTAATACCTGGCTCAACTTTCAGACTAGGAACAGAATTCTCAGTTTTTTGTTTGGGGGGATGGTTTTGTTTTGTTGTCACTACCCTTAATAAATTTGTCTCTAAGAGTAAATTTATCAACAAAGAGACTCACTGCGTTGTTGCTTACTGCTTTCTACATGGTATTGTGAGAGAGGCATGCCTCCACTCCTTCCTAAGTAAGGAAAGACCTCCCCATAAAGGAAAAAACAATCGTAATTGTTTATAAAAGCTACTAAGGATCCATTCATGCTTTATGTTGTCAGGTACTTTGACAGGATTGTGCATTTCAGGGACTGTCAATGTGGAGCCATTGTGAAATATCCCCATAGCAGTTATTCATAAATAATCACTTAGATACATGTTGGAGAAATGAATGTTGTGATTTTTTCCATTCCTAGAATGGCATAGACACATACAGGCATGCGAGCTGAAAGATTATTAGGTGTTTTGTAGTTTATCCAGTCAAGAAGTTTTGAGGTTTATCCATTAAAATGGTTGGATGGTTTACATGAAACACCTAAAATAGTAGATAAGATGGATAGTTTATGCTTTATGTCTGTGCATTTTTCTGAATATAAGGTGGATACATTCTATCAAATTCTCAATAAAATCTTATATTTGTATAGCATATAAAAAGCTCTCATCTTACAAACAAGACCTAAACAGGTCACATGACTTCTGTAATGTTTATTTGGTGATTAGCAACAAAGTTATGAATGGAACTTTTCATCTGAATCTCAGGATAGTGCACTTTCCCTTGTAGACAATTGCCACAAAACAGTGGCATGAGATAAGAAATAGTAAACATCCAAAGTACTTGGAAACATCTTAGCTGGTTCCTTCAGTCAGTCAATAAACATTTATTGAGCAACTACTATTCTGGTCACTAATTCAAGTACTGCAGATGCAACAGCAAAACAATAAAAGGAAAACAACAAGAGTCCTCAAGAATCTTATCTTCAGTGGTGACTCAGGAGTGATTATCAGGTTCACTTCTCCTTGTATTAAGATTAAGAAAAAGACCAGCATATGATCTTTCAGTTTGAAAATAATTACTTAAAATACAAAGAAATCACTGTTACGATTATTTTATTTGGGCTACATATTATAGAATCACATACATTACTCATTCATGGGGTAATCTATTTACTTATTCAAATAAACACCATTGAATGTCTGCAGTCATCAACTGATTTTCCTCAAGGAAAACTGTTGGTCCAGCTGTAGGGCCTAGGCTAGAGTCCTGGCTATTCAAAGCTATACTGATTTTCACTGGATGACATCTAAAACTAGTCTAGAGCAGTTGTGGGCCACACAGTTTCTCCTTAGATGACGTGGGATCGACCCACATTTATAAGAAATCTGAAGCCTTTTAAGAAGAAACTGGCCTAGACCAGTTTTACAAATCATATAAATGCATGGCATTTAGCAAGAGGAACAAATCCTATGTGATCTATGGTATATTAAGTTCTACAATAATGAAAAGAAACAATAGTGATGCTAATGTAGGTTTAGGTCAAAGCACTATTGAATCTTCAGATAAGCAAAATAAATGTATTCACATTATCTAACAAATCTCCAAGATATAGAGAATAAGATAAAACGAAAAATGAATGGTAATTTTTGGCTTTAATTTTTTGATAGGCTATAGAATAACCAATATCCTAAGTACTGAAACTATAATGTGAATATTATAACAGAAAAGTGTTCCCCTTGTTTATTAAATTCAGAAAAAATTATATTTTCTCATTCAAATTTCTTTTCTTTCTGATTTCTTCTAGTTCTTTGTGTTCAAGACAAGCCTGCCTATTTTGCTTATAGACTGTATAGCGCAATCCATGTAAGTGAGACCACATAGTTGTAAGATTTCTTCAGAAAACAGATCTGTTTTCTCAAGGAATTGATTTTACTTCTGTTATTTAAAGATTTACTCCTAGTTTTGAACTTGTATATAAATATACAAATTTCAAAGAAAATATGCTCAAGTGAAAAAAAATTGATATGCTCTAAAAGTAAGGTCTATCAAATAAAAATAATCTCTGCTTTCTTCTTCAAATTTAGGCACTAAGAAGTGTTCTTTGGATTCTATCTCCCTTGTGTCCTTTAGAGCCTCTTAGCAATTACAGAAACTGGCAAATACAAATGTTTTTGTATATTTCCAAAGGCTCCCACATCGCAAGTACCAGCCATATGGCAACAAGCAGAAAATATTGAAACATTACACTCAGCAAAAAAGAAAATAAATAAAACAAATAAATAAATTAAACATGCTACATTTTTAAAGTTTAAAAACACAACTAATGTCAGTGATTATTTTAGACATAAAGTGTTATTTTTCAAAAAATACTGAGATAGACAACAATAAACTCTAAGCTATTTTTGTAATTCACTGAGAACATTTTTCATGCGTAGTGTGATATTTAATCACACATCCTTTCGAGCAATCATTTTAAAAGAAACAAACACATATTCAGCAGATACTTTACATTTTATTCATGATGTGCATGAAACATGTTTATAAAAAGAAAATATCTTCACTAGGTAATTGTACATGCCAGAGCCTTGAAAATTCAAATAAAATTATTAAAAACAATATTTCAGTAATTTTGATAATCAGAGTATTTTATCTCCAAAAAAGTAATTTTGCAAGTGGCCTTCTTGAAAGTACCAGGAAGCAGGGAAATATTCTAATAATCCAGAATATATTATTTGAGAGCCTGTGCAAAGAGTGATTTTTACTTATGCACAAGAAGAACTAGTGTAACCTCAGAAAGAGGAGGGAGATTAAGGCTCACAATCCTCTGTTTTTCTTTTATTCTATTTCCAAGCAGAAAAGGTTGATTTCCATAAAAGTTCATTCATTTGAAGTAACACATGGTTTCAGCAGTTTCCTTCTCCAAAGGATCAGCCACTACAATCACTTTTGAATGAGCACAGGAAAATAATCACAACTCCCTCGATTCTAACTACACCCAAATTCAGGATTCCTTATCCTAATAAATACTTAAAACTGGATTCTTGTTGTGTGTTTTGCAAGGGAGAAAGGAAGGAACGTGAGTTCACAAATGGTTTGAAGGTTTCCGTATTAAAGCAAGCAAATTTTTTAGATATGAGGACCTTGAATGTCAAATATTAGCCGAAGAACTTTTTCACTACCCCTAACAAAAGAAACTTGCTGCGTTTTCCTCCAAGTGATCTACAGCTTAAAATAGGAAACGTGGTTAGAGCATTAATTTTAAGCACTTAAAATAAGGGGAAAGAAATGCGTTAGTAGAGCTACCGCTCATTCACAAATCCCAAATTAATTATGCGCACTGGCCAGCAGATGGCACCATTACTCCATTTGACAAGACATTTGCAACCGCTCTTCATGGAGTTTCTGCGGCTAGAACATAAACATTGATTTTGTAATTTTGATATTTAAATTTTGCTCATAAATATTTTAAGCACTTTCTATAATTTTTTAATAATGAACAGACACTATAATGAAAAGATAATTGTTGTCGTACTCAGACATATTCTTTATCTGAATTCAGGTTTACTTAGAAAGAGCCCATGATCAGGTCTGTGAACTTTCTAATGCAGTGTGAAGGAGAAAGCATGAAAGCTGGCGAAACTGGAAAAGGGAGTCAGGATTAAATAATAAAGGTCAAGGTCAAGACCTTGACCCTGGAATTGAAGGGAGAAGAGAAGGTTTCAGTGCGAGTCACAGTGAGGCAGAGGGAGAAGCCAGGGCAGAGTGAGGGCGGGAGTTCCAGGCGTGTTGAAGAAAGCTGACCGGAAAAAGAGATGAATGCAACTGAACAGGCTGATTTAAGACATGGCTTTCTCATTTTCCTCCCTTTTCTGAGTCTTTTAGGACTTTGGTTTCCACAATAAAACTGTAATCAGGATTCTAATTGCCAGAAGTGAAATAGATCTGCGGACCATAAGGAAAAGATACAAAGAGAGATACGGAAAATCCCTATTTCATGATATCAAAGTAAGGTTCCCGTGTGTGATTTACTTTGACCTACACCTTATCCTTTCTGAACTGTGATAAAAGCTTTCCTCAAAGTAACTTTGTTTTAGAATCCAAAATTTAGGTATTGTGACAAGAATGATCTATTACTTCCGACAGCCTTCAATGCATCAGCAGGCGGTAACTTACAATACCCCCTCACCTCAAGGACAGAAAGTTTTCTCTGTTTTAAGCAAGATAATTCGAGTATTCATGTAAAATATTTAATGCTGGTAATTGTGCATTAAGATCAAAATATGGATGTATAATCAGGATTGAGAAAAATGAATTTTCCAGCATGGTCACATTAGATGTGGAGAGGATTCTTGCATCAGTTCAGCTCTGCTCTCAAATTTGTTACGGAAGGCAAGATACATCAAATATCACCAACTGGTAACATGGAGGAATTTAATGTTTCTAGTAATGTAAAATGCTACACATTCTTATCGCTTTAACTTTTGGAGAGTAAAGAAACAATGATTCAGAAATAAATAAGTCAACGTCATTCTGATACTTGTAAATTCTATCCTGGATTTTTTTAAAACCTAGCAGAAAACATCTGAATATATAGTACCATGGATGTCATTTGGGGTGCTCTGTGGAAAACAATTCTTGGTTCTTGCTCAAAAAGTTACAAAGATTTTTAAGATGGTGATATCAGACCAACTGTTGGTTGGGAAAATTTAGAAACTATGAAATAGCATAAAAAAAAAGTTGCCCTAATTTTTCACCACAGGTAATTAGTAATAAAATTCTGTGATAGGTTCTGCTATGGGCAGAATGTTTGTGTCCCTGACGAACTTTATATGTTTAAATTCTAATCCCAGCATAGTGGTATCAGAAGGTTGGGGTTTGGGAGAGGGTTAGATCATGAAGATATAGGCCTTGAAAGAGATTAGTGTCCTTATGAAGTAGCCACAAGGGATCCTTCAGTGCCCATTCGCAGGAAAGGTTACAGAGAGAGAAAGGCAGCCCATGAGATGCAGACTTCAAATCTGCTGACACCTTCATTTTAGACTTCACAGCCTCCAGAAATGTGAAAGTTAAATACCTGATCTATTTACAAGCTACTCAGCTTATAGAAGTTTGTTGTAGCAAACTGAATAAACTAGACCAGGGACTTTCGATTCTTTGTGAATAATGCAATGATATTTTGCTAACTTAAAGGAATACTTTTATTGATTCATGGTATCCTACAGTATAAATTGTAAAATACAAAAATTACCATGCATTATTATACATTGATTTCAGTTCTTCACTATTATTTATAATATTATTTTATATCTATAGCATAAATATCTACACTCACCAATAAATGTTAGTACTTTCTTTAAAATATATTGCAGTAGAGTTACTGCATTAACGAGTATAGATATGATTAAAACTTTTGAGATACATTGTCAAATGGCTCTCCATACTCTGCATTGCTGTATAGTTATATTCACAAGACATCTCTTTCTAAATTTGAGGTTTCATTTTATTCCAAGATATTGTGGTTATAAATACACATTAGAATTCCATCAACTTTACATTAGTCCCCTACTATTGACTATAACTATGCTATTATTCTTAAGTAACTTTAAATAAGAATAGTTCTGTGAAAATCATAGATTAAAAAGTAAATGATTCAGGAAGGCTAATGGTCCATGAGTCTTTCAAACTGCAACTCAGAAGAATTGAACTATTTCTTTAGAAATACTATGAGACTTCATTTCAAATGCATTCTGTTTTTTTTCCTTTCAGAATTTTGCTTCAGGGCATTACAAGAAAGCTCTGCTTGCCATCTGTGCCGGGGACATGGAAGACTGCTGAAATCACGACAAGAAATGTGGGGAGGATTACTTTTATAGACACATCGGAATATAGACTTTTTGACAAATTTGTGCTATTAGTACTGTAACAGAACTATAGAATCATATTTTCTCTTATACCTTTAAAATCATTTCAAGCCAAAAAAGTCTGTTACTGAAAATATATGATCCTGGATTATCAACTGTTATTTAATCAACAATTAATTAACTCTGTGTTATGGAATAATAAGAAAAATGTCTCAGAGTAGATATTACTTAAATGTAAACTATGAGTATCCCACAAGAAAGACTTCCTTTGATTGGGAGACCAGTGAAAATGCAGTGTGTGAACACTGCCCTTAGGAGAATTTTCTAGAGGCTTGCACAAATACAGTAAAGCTAATGTGAGCACCTGAAGCAGCCTGTAAAAGGAAGGAAAGATACAAAAGAACAAAATGCACCAGGATATATGTCTATAGGGAGAGTTGTACAAGGCACTTCAATGTAAAAATAGTCCATGAGGAGGGGTGCCAGGTGGAAGGGGCAAGGGCAGAGTGACTTAGTCTTTACAGTCACACTGATACAGGCAGTTTATCTCTAATGTTTTAATCTGCACTTGCCCACTTACCCAGGTGATATCAGAAAAAACATTGTTCATGGATTTTTGTCTTTGCTCACATTAAGGGTTAGGCTTTCACAAAGGAATTTGAGCCAAAGACATCCAGCCTGTAACATCATCTTTGGATGCTATTTCTAGACTCTCTATTTTTTTTTTTTGAATGACAGAAATAGTGTACTTAGCTGCTTGCCTACCATCCTTCTTTCTTTTTACTTCCCAAATCGGTTAGTTACTTTACTTTTACATTGCAGTTGTTTAAATTATTTATATTGTTTTCTCTGAAAAAATAAGCTCACATTTGTCTATATATTAAATCTAAAACTTGAAAGACAACAAAAATCACATTGAGTAGTCATCGGAATACTCAGTACAGATTCAAGTTTGTGATCAGATGCAGATAGTAGGAAGTGTATCCTATATCACTAAAACTTCCCTATAGTAGACTTGCAAGAGCATTAAAGACATTGGTCATGTGCCGGAGCATTCCATTCAGTGTTGATCACGATGTTAAAGGAACCAACTTTAATCAGTTCTAGCAATGCTCAGGTACTATTTAAAAAGCAGGTTATGAGACAGGCATGGTGACAGAATTCTAGGAGGCTGATGCAATTTTGAGTCCAGTTCCGGCAAATTAGGGAGAGCCTATCTCACATAAATATTAAAAACAAAAAGCTGGGGATGGAGCTTGGTATGAAGTTTGAAGATTCAATCTTTAGCACCATGAAGAAAGGGAGGGAGGAAGGGAGGGGAGGAGGGAGGGAGGGGAGGAAAGAAAAAAGAAAGAAAGAAAGAAAGAAAGAGGAAGAGAGAGAGAGGAAGAGAGAGTGAAAGGAAAAGAAAAGAAAAAGAGAAAGGAAAAGGAGAGAGGGAGAGAGTAAGGAGGAAGGGAAGGGAAGGAAAGACTACGTATTAACATGTTCTCTTTTGACAACACCCCTAGCATAATCATATTATTCTAGCTTTTCCAATGAGATCACTTTTCAGTCTTTTGGGTAAAATAAAAGGTAAATTTACGAATGAGAGAACTCAAGGAAAGAGAGAGCAAGAAACTTATCCCAGGCCACACAACTAGTAAATTGGGGAACTAGGAACTCAACCCAGTCAGGCTGGCTTCAGGAAGCTGTACTTCCTCATTCATTTTCAAAGGAATAGCTTCTTTGTAGCTAAAATGTCTTTTTTGTAGATTTTAGATTTTTTTCTTTATCTTTGGAGCACTGAAATTCTGTCACAATGTGTTTAGCTATGGATCTCTCTCTCTCTCTCTCTCTCTCTCTCTCTCTCTCTCTCTCTCTCTCTTAAACTCACTATTGTTTGGAGAGCTCTTTTAATCTTGGGATTCTTATTAGCCCTGGACTAGTCTTAAATTGCATTTTCTCATAATATATTTTTTATTTTTACCACTCATTGTCTTCCAGCTATTTCCTCTTCAATTTCCTATGAAATGGATTCAAACTTTGATTAATCTTTCATTTATCTTCATGTTTCTCTTGTTGCTATATATTACCATATTTTGCTATATTCTGGAAGATTCTGGGCTTTTTGCTTACCAAATTGGAATTCTGTTTATTGTTCAGGAAACCAATTGATTTTGCATCCACAGTCATTGTTTATTTTTAAGAATAATTTTAATATTTTTTCAGTAGCACATAACTTTGTTACACAGATTTCAGTGTTTTCTGGGTCCTTTATGAGAATACTAGCTGGAATTTTTTCAAGTTCTCTCCTGGCCTCTAAATCATTGTTTCTATTCTCAGAAGACCGGAGTTTTTTAGTCTACTTTCTCTCTTTGTTTGTCTTCATTTTCTGTTTGATTATGATTTTATGTCTGATGATCTTTTATTTTTCCTTCGTATTATAAATCTTAAAAATTACAGCAATTGTTAATAAAGCTGATTTGGAAATTCCAAACTTGTCTCCTCTATGTGAGAGTGAAAGCAAATTATACTCTTCCAGGTATGTGTTTGGAGTTGAAGATTTTAGAGAAACTCTCCAACAAGCTATAAGTTTGGAACAGGATACCCTGATTTATAATTTACAAAGCAGTAGAAAAGATTATTTTTTAAAAGTTTATAATATAAAAATCTATATTAAAATCTTGAGCGTGACTTATCAAGAGGAAATAATGTTGTACTCATATGTTATACTCCACTTGTATCAGAGTCACTGAATTACTCAGCTGCAAATGAACCACATTGAAGCCAGTCGCAGTGCTCCACCTCTGTGACCCCTGCCCTCTGTGAGCCTGAAGCCGTAGGCTCAACCATTCAAGCTCATCCTGGGAGTTTAGTGACTTAAACTCTGCCTCAAAATTAAAGTCAACAGCGCAGCACCTGCGTGGCAAGTGCAAGGTCCTGAGTTCAATCCCGGTACTGGAAAAAAATTAAAGTTGAAAAGGATTAGGAATGTAGCTCAGTGCAAAAGCTCTATGTTGAGTCCAAGTACTGCCAAAAAAAGTTATGACATTTATGTAAAGTTTGAAATGTCAATGTAGTGTTTCTTTGTTTCCTGATTGCTTGCTTTTTGCAGTCCTGGGAATTGAACTCAGAGTCCTTGCACTGAGCTACATTCTCAGGCCTTTGTAAAGCCATTTTTTAAAAGTTTTTATTTTGAGACAGGATCTCGCTGAATTATTAGTTTGTGCAGGCTGGCCTCAAACTTATGATGCTCTTGCCTCAGACTCCAAGAGTGCTGGATCACAGACCTGCACCACTCAGCCCAGCTGCTGCCATAATATCTTGAAAGAGTGAATGACTCAGGTTAAAAGTTCCAAATAAAAAAAAGATTAATCTCATGTACACAAAATTAGGTAAATTTCATTTTATAAAAATTGTGTAAATAAACTTTGTATTTACAAGTAAAGTAAGATTTAATTCTAGGCTTAAAATATTATAAATCAATTTTTATCTACATAAATTTCTGATACAACCTTCAAAATTTATTCAAGATGCAAGATAATTCTTCACGATTGGAACTGCTTGTAAGATTTAAGACATCTGGTATTTGTGAACTTTACCACTATATGCCAGTGACATCTGCCAAAATTTCAAAAGTGTAGCTTGGAATTGGCACTCTTGCCTCTGAGAAATTTAAGGCTATCATTTTATCCTTCTGATTTTTCTACAAATCTTTACCCATTTTATACCTGTAGCTCAGAAACTCCTTTTTACTTTCCTGCATAGTTACACATTATACACATTCTTAATCACAAACATGCAGCCTCTTTTCTAAAATTTCAATGAAATCTTGAGGGAGAAGGAAGGCGGAAGTACCCTTCACCCCACTGTCTTAGATTAAGTCTCTTCTGTTCTCCTTTCTTCTCTGGATTGTCTGTCTTCCCACAGACTGCTCAAGACTGCTCAATGACGCACTGTCACTATTCTCCATCTGAAAAGACCACCGTGGAATTTCTACTTCTTTTGAGCTACCTTTCTGCCTCTGTGCTTACCTCCAGGAGCAAATTTCTTGGAAAAGTAGATTGGTTCTACCATCTCTTCCTTCTCTCATTTACTGCCTGCTTAGTCTTCATGCAGCCATTCTCAGACATTCAGCCAGTGTCATCTTCTGAAAACAAAAATTGGATCACATCACAACTTCTCCATGACGCAATAAATTCCAACTGTACTCAGAATGAAGTTTCTCCTCTGGATCCTGTCCTGGTGAGACAATCCTGGCCTACCTCTCCAGTCTCAGCTCACATCACAGCTCCAGGCACAGTGAACTTCTGTCACTGCACACCAAGCTTTTTTCCTGTTTGCATGCTGTGAATGTGTAGTTTCTTCTGAAAATACTCTTTCCATGTTCTTTGCATGGCCAGCTTCTTCTCGCCTTCAGGGCTTAGCTGAAATATCATTTCCTTAGAAATATCTTCTTTAACTCTCCAGTCTAAGTCTTTATAACTTGTTTATTTGTTTGTCTGTTGAGACAGAGTCTTGCTATATATTCCAAGCTGGCCTTGAATTAACTCATTGTGTAGCTCAGATTGGCCTCTAATTTGTGGCAAGCTTTCTGCCTCAGGCTTCTGTGTGTTGGCATCACAGGTGTGTGCCAGCATGTCCAGCTCCTCTTATTCTTATATGCCACTTTCACAACTTTTAAGTATTTACATTTTTGCTTATCATTCCACTGGACTATAAGTTCCCTGAGTGCAGCAGAGGCTCTTTTGCCATTCACCCTTGATATTCCTGTCAGAAAGTGCAAGGCCTGGTACATTGCAGGTGCTGACTGCATGGCTGCTGCCTAAATGCATTCTAATTTCTGTCCCTTCAATTTCACAGAGAGTTCCTTTTCTTTGGAAATAATACTTTCCCACTTTCCAGTCCTAGGGCAACTTTGAGTTCTAACTGTATTTCATTTCTCAGTGGCATTTGTCAGTATCTTTTTTGAAAACTCTTCCCATTATAAGATCACTTCTCTGCTTTCTTTTCCAGTCTCAATGATTCTCTTTCCTCCATTGGTGAATATTAGTTTCCTGAGATGGGAAAGAGCTTGTTGTTGATTGAAATACTTAAGAAAAAACAGCATGTTAGTGTGAAGCAAGAAAGCGAGCTCCCCAAGAAGAGGTCCCAAGGTGAGGATTTGAGTGCAAATAGTTCATTTGGGACAACTGACAATGGCCAGGAGTCACTAGCAGGCAGACAGGGAAGAAAGCAGGAAAGAGGATAAGAGTTAATGACAGCTTCGTCATGAAGCAAAGCTCACATTGAGTAACCAGGTCCCTTCAGAAGCCCTTGTAGAATATTCACTCCATGATTCTTTCACTGACGAGAAGGAGCTAGGTAATTTATACATGGAATCCCATCAGGGACTCTGCAAATGTGCAACTTTGAGTAATTAACCTCCCATGGTCTTTATCAGGGAAGCAAGCCTATATTCAGAACATGTAGTTTTCAAAGACAATGAATTGCTGCCCTCCTTAGGAAGAAATCTAATGGAATCAATTTTCTACCAAGTGGCTGGCAGGTCCTTCAGAAGGCTTTGCTGTATTAAAGCACTGCATAAGCTTCTGCCACTGATAGGTCTGATATACAGCAATGGCTGTAGTAAGTTGGTTTGGTGGAATGGTGTCTATGCTGTTGGGTTCCTGCATGGCCTCCATCACTACCACCATGATTTACTGTGTTCTGAATTTTGCTCTATAGTGTGAGCTACAGTAGGTAGAAGACCAAGATTAGCCAGTATCTACTGGGTACATCATCCTGTCCATCTGGCTGTCTAGGCTCTCTAGTAGTGCATCATCTCTTGTGGACATGGACTTGAGACATAAAGATTTGCACACTTGGTGTCCACTCTTATAGTTCATGCACATCATTCTTCCTCAGATATTTTTGTATCCAATTTTTCAACCTAACTTCCTCAAGTTCTCTGCTGAACTAGCCAAATTAATTACTGCTGGTCAGGAGTCTGTGTGGATCGTTATGTCCTCCGGTTTCTCCCTACATATCTGGTTGATGACCAGCAGTACAGCCAGAGCCCTGACTCCGGGAAGATTTCCTGTCATCACTAATAGTTACCCCTGCTTGGGCTTGCCCTGCAACAGTAGTTCATTTGGTTTGTGGTAACATATCCTGCTGACAAACCAAGAAGCAGGCTAGGCTTTTCATTGCGTCCTAGTTGGCCTAGGGTCACAAGAAGCCACAGACGTGAATGGAGAGGATCATCAGAAGAACAGAGGGAGGTGGCCATGTGGAACCTGTGTAACCCCAGTC